ACACAGCATTGGTTGGTGGAGGAGGACATGTGGGTGTAGGGATGTCTGTTAGGGAGAAGTGTGGGGACACAGCATTGGTTGGTGGAGGAGGACATGTGGGTGTAGGGATGTCTGTTAGGGAGAAGTGTGGGGACACAGCATTGGTTGGTGGAGGAGGACATGTGGGTGTAGGGATGTCTGTTAGGGAGAAGTGTGGGGACACAGCATTGGTTGGTGGAGGAGGACATGTGGGTGTAGGGATGTCTGTTAGGGAGAAGTGTGGGGACACAGCATTGGTTGGTGGAGGAGGACATGTGGGTGTAGGGATGTCTGTTAGGGAGAAGTGTGGGGACACAGCATTGGTTGGTGGAGGAGGACATGTGGGTGTAGGGATGTCTGTTAGGGAGAAGTGTGGGGACACAGCATTGGTTGGTGGAGGAGGACATGTGGGTGTAGGGATGTCTGTTAGGGAGAAGTGTGGGGACACAGCATTGGTTGGTGGAGGAGGACATGTGGGTGTAGGGATGTCTGTTAGGGAGAAGTGTGGGGACACAGCATTGGTTGGTGGAGGAGGACATGTGGGTGTAGGGATGTCTGTTAGGGAGAAGTGTGGGGACACAGCATTGGTTGGTGGAGGAGGACATGTGGGTGTAGGGATGTCTGTTAGGGAGAAGTGTGGGGACACAGCATTGGTTGGTGGAGGAGGACATGTGGGTGTAGGGATGTCTGTTAGGGAGAAGTGTGGGGACACAGCATTGGTTGGTGGAGGAGGACATGTGGGTGTAGGGATGTCTGTTAGGGAGAAGTGTGGGGACACAGCATTGGTTGGTGGAGGAGGACATGTGGGTGTAGGGATGTCTGTTAGGGAGAAGTGTGGGGACACAGCATTGGTTGGTGGAGGAGGACATGTGGGTGTAGGGATGTCTGTTAGGGAGAAGTGTGGGGACACAGCATTGGTTGGTGGAGGAGGACATGTGGGTGTAGGGATGTCTGTTAGGGAGAAGTGTGGGGACACAGCATTGGTTGGTGGAGGAGGACATGTGGGTGTAGGGATGTCTGTTAGGGAGAAGTGTGGGGACACAGCATTGGTTGGTGGAGGAGGACATGTGGGTGTAGGGATGTCTGTTAGGGAGAAGTGTGGGGACACAGCATTGGTTGGTGGAGGAGGACATGTGGGTGTAGGGATGTCTGTTAGGGAGAAGTGTGGGGACACAGCATTGGTTGGTGGAGGAGGACATGTGGGTGTAGGGATGTCTGTTAGGGAGAAGTGTGGGGACACAGCATTGGTTGGTGGAGGAGGACATGTGGGTGTAGGGATGTCTGTTAGGGAGAAGTGTGGGGACACAGCATTGGTTGGTGGAGGAGGACATGTGGGTGTAGGGATGTCTGTTAGGGAGAAGTGTGGGGACACAGCATTGGTTGGTGGAGGAGGACATGTGGGTGTAGGGATGTCTGTTAGGGAGAAGTGTGGGGACACAGCATTGGTTGGTGGAGGAGGACATGTGGGTGTAGGGATGTCTGTTAGGGAGAAGTGTGGGGACACAGCATTGGTTGGTGGAGGAGGACATGTGGGTGTAGGGATGTCTGTTAGGGAGAAGTGTGGGGACACGGCGTTGGTTGGTGGAGGAGGACATGTGGGTGCAGGGATGTCTGTTAGGGAGAAGTGTGGGGACACGGCGTTGTTGGTGGAGGAGGAATATAAGAAGAACCCCCCATCATGGCACGCTCACATTTGGGACTCACCATGGTTGTCCGGTTTCAGACAGTCCAGGCTGTAAGCTCCCAGGAGGATGATGACTTGCCGCGGCAGGGACTTGCAAACTGAGACCACGTAGTAGAAGACGCAGCCAGCAGAGAGAATGTCCACGCTATATGTGTGAAACAAAGACATCGGATATATCCAGAATACACAATAACGGCGTACGCAATCAGAACCAGGACACTCTACAATGGTATGGCCCGGACATAGGCAGAAAAGGACTAAATCTCCTTAACAATTGATTCCATGCATTACCAATCAGGATGGCCTTCCCACGGTACAATTGTTAGGAGAATGAATAGGAAAGTGTACAATCAGATTGTGATGTGTGGGGTCAGATTTACACCCAGTAATAATAAAATCAGAAGACACAGATATACTTATGGCGGCCGCCATTGTGTTGAAGATCTTACAATACAACATCACCATTATTGTGCTGCCACCGTGTGGCCGAGTCCTGATAGGACACCCGCTGTATTACTATACACACATTGTCTCCGTGCTGCCATCTTGTGGCCGAGTCCTGATAGGACACCCGCTGTATTACTATATAGACATTGTCTCCGTGCTGCCATCTTGTGGCCGAGTCCTGATAAGACACCCGCTGTATTACTATATAGACATTGTCTCCGTGCTGCCATCTTGTGGCCGAGTCCTGATAGGACACCCGCTGTATTACTATATAGACATTGTCTCCGTGCTGCCATCTTGTGGCCGAGTCCTGATAGGACACCCGCTGTATTACTATATAGACATTGTCTCCGTGCTGCCATCTTGTGGCCGAGTCCTGGTAGGACACCCGCTGTATTACTATAGAGACATTGTCTCCGTGCTGCCATCTTGTGGCCGAGTCCTGATACGACACCCGCTGTATTACTATACACACACATTATTATACTGCCACCTGGGGGAGAATTGTAGAAGCACGCAGTGTCTCTATGACATCACTCTGCTGCCATCTGGCGGCGGAATCTGGGAGAACTCCCACTGTATGGTCAGCACAAAACTCGATTCTCTACCACAAGGCCAAAGCTCGCCCACACAGGATTCCCCCTTCCACTGATTTCGCTTTGCGGATGAACTCTGCAGCTGCTGACATATCATTGAAGAGAAGCGCGGCAGTCCTCAGCACAATGAGTTCACAGCCATAAAATAAGACAGATTATTCCGCCATTTTACCGAGGACCACGTAATTTTATCTTATCCAAAATGGTCGCAGCGCTGGGCATGCGCAGTATCCTACAAATTAAAACCTCTATCACGGCTGCCATTTTGTTGAGGACCATTGTTTCTTCTGTGTAAAATAGGGGCGGGGAATGAATGACGTCCACGAGAGGCGACTCCACTGCGGCTGCCATTTTGTTGAAGATCAAATAATTTTCTATTCAACTCGTTTGAGGCACAGCACATGAACTAAATTACGAGAAGTAATTTCGCTTTGAAGCTATTTTAATTAGGGATCAAAACATATTTCGCCTCAACAGATACGGGCAACCTTTGTCCGCCATTGTATTGAGGACCGGGATGACTTTCTCCTATCCAAAATGGCGGCGGACTGGACATGCGCTGTATGTTATTCAGGTCCTATACCGCCATCTGGTGGCGTTACCTGATAGCACTCACACTGAATATCGGTGATTCTGCTGCCATCTGGTGGAGGAATGTGGTAACACGTCATGGTTCTAAGCACACAATATATTATTCTGCTGCCATCTGGTGGCGGAGCTTGGAATGAGTCCCATTGTCGGATCAGCTCAGTATTATATTGTCACCTTACTACCAGTTAGCCCTAAACCTTCATAGTGTAGAAACAAAAACAGCCAAAGCGCTCAACAAAATGGCAGCAGCGCTGAGCATGTGCCGGAGCCTCTGAAATGAGACATATCTGCTGATGTCGTCTTCTTATGTAGGACAACTCTAATTAATGTCGCACTGCTGCCTCCTTGTGGTCGAGTCCTGATAGGACATCCGCTATATTTCTATACACACATTGTCTCCGTGCTGCCATCTTGTGGCCGAGTCCTGATAGGACACCCGCTGTATTACTATATAGACATTGTCTCCGTGCTGCCGCCTTGTGGCCGAGTCCTGATAGGACACCCGCTGTATTACTATATAGACATTGTCTCCGTGCTGCCATCTTGTGGCCGAGTCCTGATAGGACACCCGCTGTATTACAATATACACATTGTCTCCGTGCTGCCATCGTGTGGCCGAGTCGTGATAGGACACCCGCTGTATTACTATATAGACATTGTCTCCGTGCTGCCGCCTTGTGGCCGAGTCCTGGTAGGACACCCGCTGTATTACTATATAGACATTGTCTCCGTGCTGCCGCCTTGTGGCCGAGTCCTGGTAGCGTTTATCAGCTGATCCCTCACAGTTTTTACATTTTGTATCACTTGCCCCTTCTTATTAGAGTGTAAGCTCTCATGAACCAGACCCGACTGTATTGAACTCAGATTGCTGGCAGGGCCCTGCTCATCCCCCCACAATAAAGAATTATAATAAAACTTCATGAGAAATAAATCCTGAGACTGAAATTATCTTTAATTCTGAAACTCGAAACAATCCCAGCAATTCTGAGCAAAGTCCACAAGAAGAAGCATGTGACTGGAACGTTGAAATCTCATTGGTTGTCAGTCACTGGAATGATATTGATCCCGGTGTTTTATCTTTGTGAACTGAATACAAATAAGACAATCTCCCCACTTTCCTTAAGAAGAAGAAAAAAAAAAAAAAAGCTTAAAAAAAACAGAAAATGACAAAAATAAACCCCCAGCGCGATGACGGGACGCAGTATATGCTCCTGCGTCCTCTGTATAAATACCGATAATAATAAACCGCCTCGTATTAGTGCAAGATCAGCAAGTAACATACAGGTAACCCCGCCCCCGAGGATTCTGGGTAGGCAGCTAGATACAGGAATGCCGACCTCTACACCATAAAACCTGAGCAAACATGGCTGACCCATAAAATCCAACATTTCATGAATAAAAACCCTTCAAATTGGTAAAAAATAAAATCATAAAACCTCTTATTTGTGTGAATTGCCGCTACCTGGACCTTGTCTGCCCCCCCTCGCCACCGGAGACCAATTGTCCAAAGTCCCTCCCAGGCGGAGGAGAAGCCATTACTATTGCCATAGTGCAATACGTAATAATACCAAGACACGGGTGGTAGGAGGATTCATTTAACCCTCTCCTCCCCATCCAGCTTGTCACCTGTGCCGCCCTCTACAGGGAATGAAGGGACAGCGGTGTAAGGCACTCTGTGATGTCTGCAGCCTACACGGGCCACCACCCGAGTGATCGGGATAAAGTGCTCAATACTTCACGCCTTATCCATGGGCTGCAAGCTGAATGCCGGCTCTGATGAGTCCTGGACATAATAGGGGTGAAACAGTCTCTCTTGGCTGCAGAGCCGCATAGCAAGGTAAGTGTGCAGCAGAAGTCCTGGAAAGCGAGACGTAAAATAGCGCACAAAGTCATCCGGGACGTTCCCCAGGGTGTCCTGCACCTCCGCCGGGAGTTCTCTGTAGTGGTGTTTCTGTAACACAGAGAAGAATTAATCCAGTTCTCCTCCCACCAACTGCCCTCCATTCTGCTGGCCCCTCCCACTCCTTCCACCAACTGCCCTCCATTCTGCTGGCCCCTCCCACCAACTGCCCTCCATTCTGCTGGCCCCTCCCACCTACTGCCCTCCATTCTCCTGGCCCCTCCCACCAACTCTCCTCCATTCTGCTGGCCCCTCCTACTCGTTCCACCAACTGCCCTCCATTCTGCTGGCCCCACCCACAAACTGCCCTCCATTCTGCTGGCCCCTCCCACTCACCTTATTACGTAATGCTCGCAGAAGATCCCTTACTGATCGCCCCTTGTAACTGCGGAACTTCCTGAGATCTACAAGAGGAGAGAGAGGACAACATCAGAGAGAACACGGCGATACTTCCTGGCACAACACGGTGATACTTCCTAGCACGACACGGCGATACTTCCTAGCACAACACGGCGATACTTCCTAGCAGGACACGGCGATTCTTCCTAGCAGGACACGGCGATACTTCCTGGCACAACACGGCGATACTTCCTAGCAGGACACGGCGATTCTTCCTAGCAGGACACGGCGATACTTCCTGGCACAACACGGCGATACTTCCTAGCAGGACACGGCGATTCTTCCTAGCAGGACACGGCGATACTTCCTGGCACAACACGGCGATACTTCCTAGCAGGACACGGCGATTCTTCCTAGCAGGACACGGCGATACTTCCTGGCACAACACGGCGATACTTCCTAGCAGGACACGGCGATTCTTCCTAGCAGGACACGGCGATACTTCCTGGCACAACACGGCGATACTTCCTAGCAGGACACGGCGATTCTTCCTAGCAGGACACGGCGATACTTCCTGGCACAACACGGCGATACTTCCTAGCAGGACACGGCGATTCTTCCTAGCAGGACACGGCGATACTTCCTGGCACAACACGGCGATACTTCCTAGCAGGACACGGCGATTCTTCCTAGCAGGACACGGCGATACTTCCTGGCACAACACGGCGATACTTCCTAGCAGGACACGGCGATTCTTCCTAGCAGGACACGGCGATACTTCCTGGCACAACACGGCGATACTTCCTAGCAGGACACGGCGATTCTTCCTAGCAGGACACGGCGATACTTCCTGGCACAACACGGCGATACTTCCTAGCAGGACACGGCGATTCTTCCTAGCAGGACACGGCGATACTTCCTGGCACAACACGGCGATACTTCCTAGCAGGACACGGCGATTCTTCCTAGCAGGACACGGCGATACTTCCTGGCACAACACGGCGATACTTCCTAGCAGGACACGGCGATTCTTCCTAGCAGGACACGGCGATACTTCCTGGCACAACACGGCGATACTTCCTAGCAGGACACGGCGATTCTTCCTAGCAGGACACGGCGATACTTCCTGGCACAACACGGCGATACTTCCTAGCAGGACACGGCGATTCTTCCTAGCAGGACACGGCGATACTTCCTGGCACAACACGGCGATACTTCCTAGCAGGACACGGCGATTCTTCCTAGCAGGACACGGCGATACTTCCTGGCACAACACGGCGATACTTCCTAGCAGGACACGGCGATTCTTCCTAGCAGGACACGGCGATACTTCCTGGCACAACACGGCGATACTTCCTAGCAGGACACGGCGATTCTTCCTAGCAGGACACGGCGATACTTCCTGGCACAACACGGCGATACTTCCTAGCAGGACACGGCGATTCTTCCTAGCAGGACACGGCGATACTTCCTGGCACAACACGGCGATACTTCCTAGCAGGACACGGCGATTCTTCCTAGCAGGACACGGCGATACTTCCTGGCACAACACGGCGATACTTCCTAGCAGGACACGGCGATTCTTCCTAGCAGGACACGGCGATACTTCCTGGCACAACACGGCGATACTTCCTAGCAGGACACGGCGATTCTTCCTAGCAGGACACGGCGATACTTCCTGGCACAACACGGCGATACTTCCTAGCAGGACACGGCGATTCTTCCTAGCAGGACACGGCGATACTTCCTGGCACAACACGGCGATACTTCCTAGCAGGACACGGCGATTCTTCCTAGCAGGACACGGCGATACTTCCTGGCACAACACGGCGATACTTCCTAGCAGGACACGGCGATTCTTCCTAGCAGGACACGGCGATACTTCCTGGCACAACACGGCGATACTTCCTAGCAGGACACGGCGATTCTTCCTAGCAGGACACGGCGATACTTCCTGGCACAACACGGCGATACTTCCTAGCAGGACACGGCGATTCTTCCTAGCAGGACACGGCGATACTTCCTGGCACAACACGGCGATACTTCCTAGCAGGACACGGCGATTCTTCCTAGCAGGACACGGCGATACTTCCTGGCACAACACGGCGATACTTCCTAGCAGGACACGGCGATTCTTCCTAGCAGGACACGGCGATACTTCCTGGCACAACACGGCGATACTTCCTAGCAGGACACGGCGATTCTTCCTAGCAGGACACGGCGATACTTCCTGGCACAACACGGCGATACTTCCTAGCAGGACACGGCGATTCTTCCTAGCAGGACACGGCGATACTTCCTGGCACAACACGGCGATACTTCCTAGCAGGACACGGCGATTCTTCCTAGCAGGACACGGCGATACTTCCTGGCACAACACGGCGATACTTCCTAGCAGGACACGGCGATTCTTCCTAGCAGGACACGGCGATACTTCCTGGCACAACACGGCGATACTTCCTAGCAGGACACGGCGATTCTTCCTAGCAGGACACGGCGATACTTCCTGGCACAACACGGCGATACTTCCTAGCAGGACACGGCGATTCTTCCTAGCAGGACACGGCGATACTTCCTGGCACAACACGGCGATACTTCCTAGCAGGACACGGCGATTCTTCCTAGCAGGACACGGCGATACTTCCTGGCACAACACGGCGATACTTCCTAGCAGGACACGGCGATTCTTCCTAGCAGGACACGGCGATACTTCCTGGCACAACACGGCGATACTTCCTAGCAGGACACGGCGATTCTTCCTAGCAGGACACGGCGATACTTCCTGGCACAACACGGCGATACTTCCTAGCAGGACACGGCGATTCTTCCTAGCAGGACACGGCGATACTTCCTGGCACAACACGGCGATACTTCCTAGCAGGACACTGCGATACTCCCTAGCACAACACGGCGATACTTCCTAGCACAACACGGTGATACTTCCTAGCACAACACGGTGATACTTCCTAGCACAACACGGTGATACTTCCTGGCACAAGACGGTGATACTTCCTAGCACAAGACGGTGATACTTCCTAGCACAACATGGTGATACTTCCTAGCAGGACACTGCGATACTTCCTAGCACAACACGGTGATACTTCCTAGCAGGACACTGCAATACTTCCTAGCACAACACGGTGATACTTCCTAGCACAACACGGTGATACTTCCTAGCACAACACGGTGATACTTCCTAGCAGGACACTGCGATACTCCCTAGCAGGACACTGCGATACTCCCTAGCAGGACACTGCGATACTTCCTAGCACAACACGGTGATACTTCCTAGCACAACACGGCGATACTTCCTAGCAGGACACTGCGATACTTCCTAGCACAACACGGTGATACTTCCTAGCAGGACACTGCGATACTTCCTAGCACAACACGGCGATACTTCCTAGCAGGACACTGCGATACTTCCTGGCACAACACGGTGATACTTCCTAGCAGGACACTGCGATACTTCCTAGCACAACACGGTGATACTTCCTAGCAGGACACTGCGATACTTCCTAGCACAACACGGTGATACTTCCTAGCAGGACACTGCGATACTTCCTAGCACAACACGGTGATACTTCCTAGCAGGACACTGCGATACTTCCTAGCACAACACGGTGATACTTCCTAGCAGGACACTGCGATACTTCCTAGCACAACACGGTGATACTTCCTAGCAGGACACTGCGATGCTTCCTAGTAGAACTGATGCCATTGTTCCCCCTGTAGAGAGGTAGCAATAGCTGTGCACACATTTCCTCATTGCCTGTATCATAGGACATAGCCGGTGTATATAGTAGTCAGGCACTTTGTATACTCCATGTACAGTACGGCACAGTTGATATCTATGGCGGTAGTTTGGTGAAGTCAGATACCTGTCTGCAGGGGAACGGTGATGTGCTCCCTCCAATCCAGCTTCACCACGTCTCTTCCACCTCTTTCCAGCTGTTTCACGATTGTCCCATCCAGAGCCTCTTTTTCTATTCGGTCGCTGACATCCTGCAGAAAACACAGAGCATTACTGCAGAGAATTCACCAAGAGAGACAAAGCAATGTCCCTGCCAGTCCTCTCCGGGGGACACAGTTATCGGCAGCTCAGCAGATTCAACATTCCAGGAAACAAGCCCGCGGAATCCACAAGCTCTGTGACTGATGAGACTTGTAGTCTTATACCAGAGAATTCATTCCTTCTGTGTGACTATAGCTGAACACATACAGTCTCTTCTGCAAGGTTGGTAGTGCTGCAGTGGCTGCCCTTTGCTGTTCCTCTATCAGGTCATGCTGATACACAATACACAATAAAGTGAAGGGGCTATGTATGTTAGTGTGATGGTAGAAGAAATGCTCTGCGAGGAGGTTCCTGGGTGATTGCCATCACATTGGTGGGGACATCTGCGTGGCATAGAAAGTACAATAAACCCACCTGAAAGAACTGGAGCTGCTTCTCCAGGCTCCAGAAGAACGGATGTTTCAGGACGGCCTCGGCAGACGGGCGTCTCTGGGGGTCCTTGTCAATCATCTGCTGGATCAGGTGATGTGCTACAAGACCCTCTGTAGTGGCAGGAAAGTGTCATGTGATTATCGGATAGGAAGACAGCCCCTCCCCCCCTTCATGGAGCTCTCGCATTTGGGACTCACCATGGTTGTCCAGGTCCAGACAGTCCAGGCTGTAAGCTCCCAGGAGGATGTTGGCTTGCCGCTGCAGGGACTTGCCAAACGGGTGTTTCCCCTTTGAGACCACGTAGTAGAAGACGCAGCCGGCAGAGAAAATGTCCACGGTATATGTCTGCAACAAAGACATCGGATATATTCATAATACACAATAACGGCGTACGCAATCAGAACCAGGACCCACTAAAAAATGTTTGGACCCATCCTTTTCTTGGAGTCTATTGGCGATAACAGGAAGTCATCAACTGTTGTGTTATACTGCCGCTTACATTGGCACACTGGTACAATGGTAGGCCAGCCCAGGATAACTACTCCCAGCATGGCTCAGCTATTAGCAAAGCAGTCCCAAGAGCCTCATCATGCGCACAGAGGGGTGGGAACAAGACATCAATGTTACCAGAACCAAAATCTGATTATTTTCCATTGAGGACACAGGAAACCAATGACTGTTGGGACGGGCAAAAGCAGTCCAGCTGAAGGGAGGACAACAAAACAGTAAGAGAACCCATTGTACACAACAGAACCGGGGAGCCACCTGAAGCTGCCATCAGATGAGGCTTCAACAATCTTCTGTTAGAACGTAGAACAGCATGGAAAGGCCTTACCCATATGGCAACCAAGAAGGCCCTAGCGGAGGGAGACTATGACACATGGTGAATACATGAGGCCAAATGAAGACATTGAGGGAGTTGAGATCCAAGATGGGGCAAATGCTCTACGTTTGGTTTGAGAACTGTGAACAGATAGGCGTGGAAAAGCTGAAACCATTGTGCCACAGGGACCGGGGCAGTGACAACCTGGTCCAGAAGACCTGCTAGTGCTGCCTGGAAATCTGCCACTTTGTATGGTGCTTCAGGAAGGTTCAGATTTCTAAACTGGGAATAGGTCTGGGAGGAAACTCTATCTGGCTTGTGGCCCCTGGAAACCATCTCCTGCTCCTAAGCATCCAAATAAACACTATCCCAAAGTCT